TTATCTTTTTTATTTGATTTACATATTTAAGTATTAAATTATTTATGAATTATTAAGTACTTTGTATTTAAACTTTTAAATATTTTATTTTAAACTTATTTTATCATTAAACAACCTTAACAATTTATTTTATGATATTTACATAGTTTATATTTGTTTTTATTAATATATAAAAATACAAAAATATGTTAAGATTTTACGATTTTATTTGTGATCTTACGATTTACGATCTTATCTCTCCTTTATAATCTTAGTTAAAATCTCGATTTTAACAACCATAAAACTGTAATTTCAGTTTTTATGATTGAACAGTGGCAAATCAACCTCCCAAGTGAAACCAAACGCAAATAAAAGTAATTTTTGTCTAATCTACTAATTTTAAGTGATTTGTCCATGTGTGCCTCCACCTCAACATCCATCTCAGCCAAAAAATGGTCACGTCAGACAGAGAGGAAGGGCTGATGAATGGAATGTTAAATGTTAACGGAAATGTTAAGAGAAGGGGTGATTTGCCACTGCAGGGGAGTTGAGGGGCTGATTTGCGCGTGAAGTGGGTTGAGGGGGTGATTTGCCACCAGTTGTTGAGTTTAGGGGCTGATCTGCACCTTTTGCCGTGAAGAAACGTGTACGCGGTTTGCTAGTCTGAAAAGTCAAATCACTTTAATTGAGGGAAGAAATGAGAGGATAAAGAGGAAAGAAAATAAAAGAAAGAAGAAAGAGGAAATATTGAAGAAAAAGCATCAAAGTCATCATAAACCACTACCTTCTTCCCCATTATCTCAGCTAATTGTTCTCAAGTCTCAAAAAAACAGCTTCTCGTTTTCCTCTCTGAATTCTCGTGTTTGCCCTGCTGGTTTGGCACTTGAGATCTGGTAAGTGACTACATTTTTCTGCTCTTTAATGGCTTTCAAAAGCTCTGGGAAATTCTTTAGTATTTTGGTAGAGGCTTAAACTATAACAATTGTACCTTTCAAGTTCATTGATTTTTGCTTGTATGTTGTATTGTTTGTTTGGTTACAAAATCCAACAAAAAAACTTAAAAGAGATAAGTGAGACTCTTGGCTGTTTTATATTGGACGCTTGACATTGTTATTATTATTTTAGAAAATTCCATCTCTTTTTTAACGGAAAAAAAAAAAGAAGTATCTATTTCATATTGCTTACTTTTCTGTTTTCCTTCAACTAATATGTATAATTTGATGGCTACTCAAACAATTTCTTGACTGATTTCTATCTATTATTCATGAATTTGAAGAGTGCTTCTATGGTTAATAAGATCAGGTGTATCAATATTTGATTCTGTAAAAGAGAAAGCTGTGATAAAGGAAAAAGAGAAAACTCACAGGATTAAAACATAATAACAGACAATTCAATATATGGGAAAACATTATTTTGATTTTCCTTTTTTGTTTTTTCCTTTCCTTCTTGTCGGCTCTCACAACACTATTCTGTTTTTCCTTTGTATCAGAATTCAGTTGCTTGCTTGATCTTTCTCTGTCTCCAAGCATGGCGCTTGAGTTTGTCACCAACTACATCCTCCCCCGTATTATAGATGCGTTGGCTGACGAAGTGATTTCACGTGCTCATAGATGGTGGACAGCTTCAGATTCTTCTGATCGCGAGGCGGAATCTGATCACGAGGCGGAATCTGTTCGCGAGGCGGAATCTGATCGCGAGGCGGAATCTGATCACGAGGCGCAGCTGACGAACCTTAGAGACTCCCTCAAGTTTATCCAGTCTATGATCAATGATGCAGAGCGAAAACAGGGAAAAGAAAGTGATGACCCTGTAAGGCTCTGGTTACAACATCTCCAATGGCTAGCTTATGATGCTGAGGATGTGCTGGATGAGTGTGATTATGAGCATCTTCGCTGCCGTGTTGAGACTCCTGGGGAGAAGAAGAGGAAAAGGAGCTCATTCACTACTGATATTGTTGACAAAATAAAAGATATTAATGTGCGCTTTGATGAATTAAAAGAGCGCGCACGTCTACTTAATCTGGAGTCACGTGAATTTCATCCAACAGCCATGCAATTACCCAAGACAGACTCCCTGCTTGGTGATTCAAAAGTTTTTGGAAGGGGAGATGATGTTGAGAGAATTCTTGACATGCTGGATGACTTGAGGGAGAAACAGTATCTAGTGTCTGGCGTTTCAATAGTTGGCATGGGGGGCCTTGGGAAGACAACAGTAGCAAGATCAATATACAAGAAGGCAGAGGAAGAAAAGCGCTATGATCTAGTAGCCTGGGTGTGTGTCTCTGACGACTTCAATGAGGAAACAATTTTGAAAGAGATGCATGAACATTTTATTAAGGGTGGTGTCCCTTCAAGCAGCATCAATGTACTGGTTAAAGATCTTGCAAAGGAGTTAGAGAAGAAGACTTTTCTTCTCGTTCTTGATGACGTGTGGAACAAAGATCAATCGAGGTGGAATGCTTTTAGTAATCGTCTCTCAAGAATTCTGAAGACAACTAGGAATTCTATTGTGGTGACAACTCGTGATGAAGGGGTAGCATCTATGATGATGAAGATGAATCTTATGCAGAATTCTATGCAAATTCATGAAATGCATAAGTTGTCAGATGATGACTGCTGGTTAATAATTGAAGAGGCAATTCTCACTTCATCAAAACAAACTTCAATTTCTTCGAATTTGAAAAATATTGGGGTGGAAATTGCCAAGAAGTGTGGGGGCTTGCCATTGGCTGCTACTATTATTGGAGGAACACTGAGCCGTGAAAGTCAAACAAGTGAGTGGGAAGCTATCAGAGATGATGATGCATGGAATTTGAATTCAGAAGATGGAAACGGGATTTTATCTATACTAAAAATAAGTTACCATCATTTGCCTCCACCTTTGAAAAAATGCTTCTCCTATTGTTCAATATTTCCAAAGGATTTCATCATTGAAAAAGATGATTTAGTTCAACTTTGGATGGCTCAAGGATATCTTCACCAATCTAATGAGAGCTCCACGACAATGGAAGAAATTGGTGATGCCTACTTTAATTATTTGCTATCTAATTCCTTCTTTCAAGATGTGGAAAGGACGTCATATGGAGATATCATATATTGCAAGATGCATGATATAGTGTGTGATCTAGCATTGGACGTTTCAAAAGATGAAACTTTCATACTGAAGACTGGTTGCAAGATTGATGAAGATGCTAGTATTCTACATTTGAGAGTCAGGCATGATGCAAGTGAGCCTCTAGATATTCCAGCTAGTATTCTTCGAAGGCTGCGTTGTTTGTTCATAGAAGGGAAGGTGGGTGCTGTTTTCAATGCCATGGCATCTAATCTCAAAAGTTTGCGGTCTTTAAAATTCGGAGGAGTCGGGTTCCCTATTTCTAGAGATGTTGACATAAAAGAGTTGGACCCTGCTCTTGGAGAACTGAAGCATTTGAGATGCTTTGATATCTTCGACAGTAGAGGTTATATACTACCAGAGTCTTTTTTCAAGCTCTATAATTTGCAAACTTTCGGAGGATATGGTTTCTTTGATCTGGAGTGGCCATATGATAAGTTAACCAGTTTGGTCAGCTTGAGGCACATTTGTTTTTACGATGATTGCTTGTCTATCTTGAGGAGCATTGGGCACCTAACTTCCCTTCGAACATTACCTGTGTTTTTTGTAGACATGGAAGAGGGGGGTGGCATTGAAGAACTGGGAGGCTTAACCGAACTCAGAGGAAGATTGGAGATTCAGGATCTTGAACATGTTCGTTCGAGATTGGAAGCCAGTAAAGCAAATCTAAAGGAAAAGATGGGAATACGCTGGTTGAAACTGGAGTGGAGTAATTATGGGGAAATATACAGCGCCAATGAGGAGGAGGTTCTAGAAGGTCTTCAGCCTCACACAAATCTAAAAAGTTTATCCATTAAGGGTTACATGGGAAAGGGCTTTCCACCATGGATGATGAGTGGTGGTGCTATATTTTTGTCCAATAATCTGGTGGAGTTGGAATTACAGCGTTGGCATAATTGTGAACATATTCCTAGTTTGGGACTTTTACCTAGTCTCAAGTCTCTTCATATTGATGGTTTTGAAAATGTAAAAAGAATGGGTCATAAGTTTGATACCACCAAAAGTAATGGTCCAGGAGGAGTAGAACCAATCAAACTGTTCCCAGCTTTGAGGGAACTCAGCTTAAACAGCCTGCTAGGCTTAGAGGAATGGATTGAAGTAGATGATGATGATATAGCAGCAGGAGGGAAAGTCGAGATTGTGTTTCCTTGCCTTGAGATTTTGAAAATTGACTATTGTCCTCGGTTGGAAATTTGGCAGATGGGTGGATTTTCATCTCATCATAAGTTGTCTCATTTGGAGATTAACAAATGTTACAAACTGATGGATATCCCAAGTATGAACGGGCTCTCATCTCTTCAACTTTTGAGAATTGAAAAATGCTTTAATCTAAGGGGCATTTCGGGGGAGTGCCTACGCTACCTCGCTGGCTTAAAGAAGTTAGAGATGGGTTATTTCTGTGGTGAATTGGAGGAATTCCCAGGACTCAGTTACATCCATCAGCTAAACTCCTCCCTTGAATCTTTAATATTACGTGGATGGGATAAAGTCAAGTCTTTGCCAGATCAACTGCAACATCTCACTGCCTTGAAAGAATTGACTCTTTCAAATTTCAACGGAGTGGAAGCTTTTCCAGAAGGGTTGGGAAACCTCAGTTCTCTTCAACGACTTCACATTTTTGAATGCGGAAATCTAAAGCATCTGTTTCCACTCCAAGCCCTAAAATCCCTTATTGAGTTAAGGATGGGTCCTTTCAGCTCAGATTTGGAGGAGTTCCCAAGACTTGATTGCATCCTTCACTTTCATGCTTCCCTCAAAGATTTAACATTGACAGGATGGGATAAAATAAAGTTTCTGCCAGATCAGCTTCAACATCTCACTGCCCTCAAGTCATTGACTCTAGAAACATTCAACAGAGTGGAAGTTTTACCAGACTGGTTGGGAAACCTCTCTTCTCTTGAACAGCTGCACATTAAAGAATGTCCTAATTTAAAGAAAAGATGCATAAAATATACAGAACGCAAAGGTCCTTGGTTTTCTGAAATTTATGCAGGAGAGGAATGGTCCAAGATTTCCCATATTCCCCGAATCTTGATAGATACTTATACAATCAAATGGCATGAAGAGTAAGTATGTTTAATTTATGACATCTTAATCCCTCCATTTATCCCACAATTGCAAACTCCTTGTTTTCTTTTGTCACTGAAAACTGAGTATGGGTTCCCAAATAAATTTGAGGAAAATAACCCTCCTTCTAACTCCAACTTCGACTTGCTGATCAAATCTCTTGACTGAATAATCAGGTTGTACTTGTTCATCAAGAGTTGAAGACATTCAGAAGCCTTCTCCAAATTATCAACTCGTATAAAGATGCATGAAGGAGAAAAGCAGGGGATTGCATAGACACACAACCAAAATCTTTCATTTTAAGGTCTGTTTTTTACCCTATAACCTTGCTTTTAGATCTCAAGTATTTATTCCACCCTTTGTTTATCAAAGTTTTATTTTCTGGAGTATATTTTCCTTCAAGTTTATATAAGTTTGTGTTTGTATCTAGTTTTCTGTTTGAATGTTAATCAAAAGTTTGAGCTATGAATCAATTCAATTTCAGGTTTGAAGCCTCTGGTTTCTTTGTACTTGCGACTTTGCTTGTATCTAGAGAAAGTGTTATGAGGAGGAGATAAGATTGTGATAGTTTTCTCAAACCAGACGATTTAGGCTGTGATTCTTCTTTTCAGTGCCTACTATCACAAGCATGATTGAGTCACACTCACCATGTATAAAATTCAAGATTGTTTGTGTGAACATCTTTTAATTTTGTAGGCTTGGCTCAATTAGGACTTGTTTAGCAATAATTAAGCATGTGATTGTAAGGAACAGTAGTACATATTGCTCTTACCGGAGCATGTTTGAGTGATTTAAGAACAAATCTTGTAATTTCTTCATGAATCAGTGTACCTCAATATATCTTCAATTGAGTAAATACACCAAGTAAATTTATGTTTCTCTTGACTCCGACGAGACTATATTTTTGTTGTTTCTACAAATTTTTTTGATTAGGTCGGCATATTTGAGACTACTAACTAATCATTGATAAATCATTACATGACAGGAGATCAGTGAAATTAACTCAAATGTATGCCACTAATTATTAAAATGTGATTTCTTTTCTTAATTTCAAAAGCAATTATTAACGTAAATATGATAGTTTTTCCTCCTTTTTATGGATATGAATAATTGAATATAATATTTTCTTGTTTTAGGAGCAACATTTTAACTATTTCATGGCCAAAAAAAAAAAAATACATTTTAACTATTTCTTTGTTTACTTGCCAAAAATTTCCTATTTCTATGTCTTTGTATTTAATTTTTCAGATTTTCCTTTTGTTTTTTTTTTTA